TCTGCCCCTCACTGCCCTCCTCTGCCCTTTATTGGCCACCTCAGTCCCTCATTGCTCACCTCCACCCCTCACTGCCCACCTTAGCTCCTCATTGCCCTCCTCTGCCCCTCATTTCCCATCTCAGCCCCTCACTGCCCACCTCAGCAATGCCCACTTGCATCAGCTCCTCAGCGGCCAGCTCAGCCTCTCACGGCTCCCTCACAGGTATGTCAGGGCTCGTAGCTCGGCCCCAGGAGCCCCGGCCAGCGCTGGTCCCTGAGGGCCGAAGGGCCGGGGCAGAGCTGGCCGGCCCAGCGGTGTGAGGGTGCGGGCGGGTGCAGCCCTCACCGTCCGGCCGAGCCCCTGGCACTGGGGCACAGCACGGGGAGAGGAACCCATGGGTGGGTCCGAGGCACCAAAGACTGCGAGGACCTGAAGGTCCAGAGGTTACTTAAAGGCGTCCAAACAGCATTGAGTGTGTTCAGCACCTTCCCACGGCTGGGATGGGGTGTCTGTCATGGCCATGGCACAGCTGGGGCTGTCGGTGCAGTCCGTGTGTCGGGTCACTGACACTGGTGACATCTGTGGCATTACACCGACACAGCCACGTCCTGGCTATAAACAAGTCATTTAATAAGGCTATAGAGAGCTTTCCTAAAATAGCCTTTCCCAAAAGTTCTATAAATTGATCATGTTTTATTTGACGTAAACGTTTACTTAGTAAAGAATAAGTGCAGGTCTAGTACACGAAGCAGGTATTATTATAAACATATTTTAGTGAATATAAACATTTGAGTGCAGTAGTTCATCCTTATCATGAGTAGGGAGGGAGCTTTATGATGGTCTTGTGGAATCATTGTGGTTTCAGCTTTCACAACGGAGACATGAGAAAAATAGTCCAGGTAACTCCATTACATTTGGTTGCATACCCAGCCTGTGTGATTGACTTGCACAGAGCTGAGATGTCAGGGCAGGAACCACTCTCATCTCCCAGTTATTAGAACAATTAGGGCTGATCATCTGACATGAGGGATCCAGAAAGGCAGTTTGGTTGTACCTTGCTGACAGAATAAGACAGCCTCCTTAATTTGGACTAAATTGACACCAGGTTTTAAAAGATAAAATGACATCTGAGCCACATGTGGCAATACAGAAGAGAGGGTTTTTTGCAAAAAAATAAAAAGAGAAACAATATGAATTTAGGACATGAGGCAGTGGAGCAGGACAAAGCAGCTGACACTGAGATGTTTTTCTCATGGTTAGATGGATACTGGTATCCGCGTTACTTTGTGTGGATTTGCATCAAGTAGTGTGGCATATGCTGTTTAGTAATTTTCTTAAGAATGTGGGTCAGGTTAAGTATTTGATTTCATTGTCATTATTCACATGCTGTAAAGTTCATACGCACTAAAGGCTTTGCTGGATTAGGGTTTAATTAGTTTGCCATCTGATGAGTCCTGTGGTTTTGGGAAAGTAACTTACTTTGCTTATTACCTCGATATTTATGACCTTGTGGAAAAGTCTATCTACCCCCTCTCCTCTCAAGTGCACTGGAAGTTTAACACTGGAAATTTTAGTTTGTAGAAACCTGACAGGTTAAAATCCTCAAATGCAGGTGACTGTGGAACTGGGGAACATTATTAACAGGATATTGTTCTTGTAGGAATTCTCTACGTACCCACCGAGAACATCCATTTGCTAACAGACAAGAAACCGAGTGCATTGCATAAGAAAGCAAACTAGGAAAATTGTGGGCCGAGCATCACGAGATAGTTGGCATTCCCTGCAGTGTTTGTGTGCTGGGAGTGCCGGCCTCATTACCCGGCTGCCATCCGTGGGCAGCATTCCAGTCCCGGCACACAGGGCTGCCCTTGGGCCTGCAGGGAAAAATGTGCTGACTAAACAGTGCCTGTGTGTCCGTGTCCCTGTGTCCCTGCTCAGCATCGCTGCTGCCTCGCAGGTGGCGGGGCTGTCACGTTCACAGCAGTGCCGGTGCTCTCTGAGTGCTCCTCTGCAGAGCCGGATCCCAGGGGAGGGAACTGCTCCTGTGTGGATCACTGCTCCAGGCCTGGAAAGCACAGCGGCACACACGGTCACACAGCAGTTCATGGAATCACAGAACCGAGGAATGGGCTGGGTTGGAAAGGATCATCTGCTTCCACTCCCCTGCACGGGCAAGCCCCATCCAACCTGGCCTTGGACACTTCCAGGGATGGGGCAGCCACAGCTTCTCTGGGCAACCTGTGCCAGGGCCTCCCCACCCTCAGGGTAAAGAATTTCTTCCTAATATCCAATCTAAGCCTACTCCCTGTCAGTTTGAAACCATTTCCCCTTGTCCTGTCACTCCAGGCCCTTGTTCAGACTTTGTGTGCAATCTTGATAATTTGTCTGGAACTACAGCTCTCTGTCTGTAAGGACAGGGAGTAAAAGCACTGCTATGTTAGAGGTTTTGAAAAGAGAAATACTGTGGCTGGGCCATGCTAGAAGGACCATGTGAGCACACTGAATGAGCTGTTTTGCCCAAAGATTTCAGAAAGTGACATTTTCATGCTGTACTTAATACATTTATTGATGCACTTGTTAGGACTTTTCCTTTCATGTACGGTGTATGTGGGGTGGACATAAGAACTGCGTTCTGTAGGGGAAACCTCTTTGTTCTTGAATGGAGGGAACCATACACACATTGTGAACTTCATTCTAATGTGAACTGTACAGTGGCCTTTTTTGCATATCAAAAAACAACAGTAGTTTTGAAAACAATGATAAAATGTGGAATGTCTGTACTGGATCAGAGAAAACTGTTAAGTCCCTGCGTAAACCACTGGCCTAAGATCTGAGAGGATTTCTCTTCCCCACTGTCCCCCATCTCTCTTGCCCCCACAGATCAGGTTCTCTAGGACAAGAATATTCCATTGCCCTGTAGACCAGCAATGGTCTTTGACTACATAACATAAGCTCACTGGGGAAAAGCGAAAACCTTTTTCTGTTTTTTATTCCTGAAGAAAGAAAAGCACTCATGCATTTCACATGCTGCCTGTATGGAAAGCCTCTATTACCTTTTTAGCTAGCTTGCCCCAGTTTCATTCAGCTATCACAACACTGAATTTAGATGATGAGACTGAATTACTCTATTTGATGTGTTTAACACATAATAGAAACCTGTTTTAAAAAAGCGCAGTGTTGGGATTTGAAGAGCTGAAATGTTAGGTGTTTCAGATAAAAGAGGCCTTTATTATGGGTGATTTTCCCCTCAAAGGCTTCCTCCTACACAGCCATGGAGTATTCCTCTCACCGAGCTCAGCACAGGAATACACAGTAGCTCTGCCATGCTCATCTGCTGGGAAGTTGAGAAACTTATGTCCTATTTTTAGCCATGCTGCTGGATATTCTTGTTAGGATATGCTGAGAAAGTGAAGATGATGAGGTGGTGATCAGGGGACAAATCCTCACCATTTTCTCTAATTTAAATTAATCTCCATTGCCTGCAACTGAGCCAAAGTAGTTCATACAGGTTTGAGATTGGACCTACACCCGTAAGAAAAATTTAATTGTAGGTCCACGTCTTCCACGGACTTTTTCCTGCTCAGCTGCCCATTTGGTGAGCCTCATGCACAAATTACAGGAGAGGCCACCTTGGACAGGTGAAACACCCAATCCTTTCTGCCTGATTATTTTTTTGGTCTTCTTTTGTATCACCTGCCATCAGAGAATTTAACCCAGGAATTTAACAGGAGTCTTCTGCCAGTTAAATGGCAAGGTCAAATGCAAGGGATGGACCAGCAAATCCACAGCTTTGGCAGTGGTGGGTCCCAATGAGACAGGGATGGATACAGGGAACAATGTATGCTGAGAATAGTGGAGAGAGAGATGTGCAAATTAAACATTGCTCGTTTTCTTAAAAATCATTTTCATCA